AGGATTCAATGATGCCCTCACTAGGAGTACTTGAGGATCTAAGGATATTCCCCAATATCAGAACTTTAGAACTCAAGAGTTTATCACAATAGTAGGACTTGAGGCTTCAAGAGTACCCCCAATAGTAAGACTTCAGGACCACGGCGGGGATGCCCTAATACGACGGCTTGACGTTCTATAGGTGCTTCCCGTTAGTGAGGCCTGAGAATCTGAGGATACCCCAATAGTTGAACTTGAGATCCTAAGGGTATCCCCACCAGTGAAACTTGAGGACCCAAAGATATCCCCGAAAAATAAAACTTGAGGAACCCAGGCTATCACCCAATAACACGAATTTTGAACTCAAGAATACTTCTGAATAAAATGACTTGAGAATCCAATGTTACGGGTTTGATGACGAGAGACATTTACTTGACTGTTCTTTATTCCCGCCTAAATAGTAACAGAAAAGTTGCCAGTTAGCTGGGAGCGTAAAGGTAACTTCCCACCCCTAGTTGGAGATTTTTCAGAGAAAAAAAGTTGTTTGTTATTTTTTTGTTATTAATAACAAATAACAATAACAATAAATTCATGCCCCTAGATTTAAGATATAATTTCGAAAAGAAGACATAATAAGTTTTATATCAAATGAAAGCCTGTCAAAAATGGGGGTTATTGATACTAAATAGTGAGATTTGTGAAAACTTTTTAATGTTGAACTTGAATAGTTTGAAGAAATTTCATACATTTTTGGCGCTGAAAAACTAAGGTCCGAGCAAATTGAAAAATAGAGTAAAATATTTTTCCTGGACATTTTTACATGGTTCGATAGAGCTCATCAACCTCTACAAATGTGTATATATTAAATTTTTTTAGCCATCTTTTTTGGGTTAAAATTCACTGAAAACTGTCTGAACAATGTAGCGTAGAGTCCACATTTTTTACAGTTGTTATAGAGAAAAGAGGGGGTCGTTAGAGAATTAGTTCAGCTATTTTTCATTAGCATTCTTATGTAAAGTGTTTGGAAATGCACTCATTCGATGCACTTTTTCATTCTGCATCGAATAAGCATATTTTGAAATTTATGAGGGATTAAAAATAATTAAGAAAAAGCTAGTTTTATTGTAAAATCGAGTGCTTTTCTTCGATATAAATATATGATTTTTTTTTAACGTTTTAAAGATTTTCCAAATAGCTTTTGAATATTTTATCGCAAAACGATGGCTTAAAACACTTTTAATATATATTTTTGTAGAGCTCGACGAACTCTATTGAGCCATGTAAAAATATCGGAGAAAAAAATTTTAGTCTATTTTTCAATTGCTGGTATCTTACTCTTCCACCACAAAAAAATTATAAAATTTCTGAAAATTTCTTAAGCTCTATATTAAAACGTGTTCATAACTCTTACTATTTAGTATCACTAAATCCCATTTTTGACGAGCTTTCATTTTATATAAAGTCTTTTATGTCTTATATTTGAAATTATGGCGTTATCCTCTGGGCAAAACGTTTTGGCAATCCTGCACATGTATATCCTGTTAGTTGATTGATAGCCATATGCAAGTACAGGTAGACATGTGTCATCACTTTATGCATACATGAACTTAAAAAAAAAAGAATTGTCAACCGTCAACTGTTATACGAGACATAATTTTCAAGACAACTGATTACAGAATATTATTAATGATAAGAATAGAATACAAATAAGTTTTGTGAAACATGATCTGGAAGTCGTTTTGAAGTGTATAGGCAGAAATTGTGGACCCGCTGCTCCACTCCTCTCCTCATAGATCATGAGAGAGAAATTTCATACCCATCACGGAATGTGACAGTGAACCCGCAAAGACAATCAAAAATCGTTACAGGGGGACCCCGGAGACCATCACAGGCTGTTAGAGAGAACATGTAGTTTTGAAGCATCAAACAAACGGTACGCTACAAATCTGTCGTAAAGAAATGGCAGAGAACGATGTTCATGTGATTAGTAACGATGGGTTCATCGTGTTTCACATTTTTAATTCTACAAGGGATTGTGGTAACAACTTTTTCATGTATGCAAGTGAAATCTAAACTTTTTCCACGTGATATATTTCCTTTCTGTGCATCATTATGGGGCACGTGCTACTTTGCGTAGTCCGATTACTCATACGTTTGTATATATGCATGAATGAGTTCCATTATTTTGTAATGTCCTTCCCAGGACGATGATTTCTGAAGTAGTATTCCGTGATTTCCCCGCAAAAACTCTAAAAAACCGTGTAGTTTTCAGCCAGAACGCAACCGGAAATGGCAGGAATCTGACGCAGGGATCCGGTGACCGTGTTCAGTTGCTAGTTATAACAGGTTCCTGTCGATTCCAGGAGAAACCAGATGAATCCGGTCACAGGATCCGTTCGCGGGAATACTACTTCCATGAAATCTCGAGAATATCGCAGAACCGACCGCGTCTGTCCCGAATTGTTCGACCTGGGTTATTCTGTTTTATATTCGCTCATCTTTCTCGCTCATATATAAAGGTGTGCCTCATCTGAAAAGAAAAAGTGGAATCAACGCAAAAAAACAGAAGGAAACAACTAATGTCATGCAGTAATATAATGAACATCTATATGTCGATAATTCGTAACGCTAATACCATTCATCCATGTTGCCATTATCATTATTGGGCATGTAAAAAAATGGCAAGATATCAGGTTAAAATGGAGAACTTTTCCATTAAAAATTAATTAAAATTGCATGATTTTAATCGTATTTTTCTAGTTACAAAGCCCGATTTCTCAATTTTTTGCACTTCGTCAAGTTGCTTTTGGTGGATTAAAACTAGTTAATCAATTACATTAAATTAAAATAATTCAAACAAGTAGAGAAATCGGATTTCGTGACTGGAAAAATCCGATTTGAATGTGATTTCTTGTCGGTTTTTGTGTACATGAAAATGAAATAAATGCTGCAGCGGTAACGAGACACCTTTTTCCATTTAATCAAATTTGTTATACTCAATATCTTGTATCTTCTTCTGACAGACAATTTTTACGCCTGTTCAGTAGCATTTGACTCTCCTTTCAAAAATTTCTTACAGGAAATTCTTTCTCAGTAGCACGGTCGATGATTAGATTGTAAGCATTGCGTTGTTCCAGTACTCATGATAAAATGTCGAATAATCGCTGAGAATACTTGAAAAGCTGAAAGTCACTTATTTTATCTTGTGCGGATATTGTGTCGAGAGATACACCAATGTGATATCCTATCCCTTGTATATGATATCACCTTTACGTTACATCACTCTTATTCCATTCCATCTCTAATACAATGTCATCCTTGTATCCATATGTAATAATGCTTATACTTGTCCAATGCTTTTGTAATCGTTCACTTATTCATTATTCGTTTCTATATCATTGTACTTTTTCCTTGATACATTGTTCTTTGTTAACGCTTGTGTAATCGTTATATTACATCCTGTATATATTCACATTGTTCTCTCTTCACGAGAAAGTGAAGACGAAAGAAAAAGAGAGAAGAGTGAAAAATACACTCCCTCGATGATAATAAGCGGTGTGAGTGAGATTGAACAACGATATACACGTGTGAAAGATATATACACGGTGGTGTATAACTTTTATGTAGAGAAGAAGAATACATTCTAAAAAATAAAAGTGCTTTGCGAAACCCCCACAAAAAGTTCTGTAGATTCAGAATAGCGTCTAAATGACTCGAAATGCCGAAAAAACGACTTTTTCATTTCTACGAAACCTTTAAAGGTTCTGATTGCAGGTACACCATCAGAACCCTCTGATACGAAACCTTTTTCAAGTTCGGTAGTGCATAAGAAGGTTTCGCACTAAACTCTGAGAATTTTATATAGACTTCAGACGGAGCTGTAAAGGTTTGGTATTTTGTTACGAAACCTTTTTATGCGCTACCGAACTTGAAAAAGGTTTCGTATCAGAGGGTTCTGATGGTGTGCCCGCAATCAGAACCTTTAAAGGTTCCGTAGAAATGAAAAAGTTGTTTTTTCGGCATTTCTAGTCATTTAGATGGTATCCTGAATCTACCAAACTTTTTTTGGGGGTTTCGCAAAGTACCTTTATTTTTTAGAGTGTAGTGTTGCTCAAATAAAGGAGCAAGTGGTAGCGACAACACTGTAGAAAATTGGCGCAGAATAGTAAACCATTCAAAAGAGTTTATTAACCTCATAAATCCTATCATATACCCATTTTAGTTTCACAAACCCTTCAACATACCTTTTCAATTCATAAACCTTGACAAGGGTATCTTATACGTTGCACTTTCATAAACCCTTTAGGGTATATGAGTATTCATATACCCTTTGAAAGGTATATCGGCTGCATAAACCTTTCTCAACAGGGTTTCTTATTCTACGATTTTTTCTAAACGGTATATCAATAAACGCTTTCTATAAGGGTTTATGCAGCCGATATACCTTTCTATAAGGGTTTATGCAGCCGATATACCTTTCAAAGGGTATATGAATACTCATATACCCTAAAGGGTTTATGAAAGTGCAACGTATAAGATACCCTTGCCAAGGTTTATGAATTAAAAAGGTATATTGAAGGGTTTGTAAAACTAAAATGGGTATATGATAGGATTTATCAGGTTAATAATCTCTTTTGAAGGGTTTATTATTCTGCGCCAATTTTTTACAGTGAAGTAACGAAAGTGTGCAGAAATCAACAGAAATAAGACAAAGACTAGAACTTTAATGATTTCAATCAAGCATCATCGTTCATTTCGTTCTTTTTCGTTACAGATATATAATAGTCAGTTTTTTTTTTCTATAAAGCTAATTATTCTTTATGGTCGATTCAGAAGCTCAAAATTGGTTTAAAATAGAGCTATTACTAGCTCATTCATGCCTCACTTTGCGAAAAATGTTTAAAGATAGATGGCTTCTCTTTACTGGTAATCAGTGGCAGGATAATTCAACAGATGGCCATACATTTATAACGAGTCTCGGTCAAAAGATTTACAAAAACTGCGGGAACATTCAGAAAATTATGTTGAAGACGGGTGACACCAATCAATGGGATTTAACAACATTAGTTCAAGCCCTCCGCGAAACAAAAACAACAAGACAACTAGATAAGATAAATAAACAAAAAATCAGCCTTGAAAACAACGCATTATCGAAAATAATAACTATTCGAAATAACAATGCTCACCATGCAACAAAATGTATTTTAAACACTGAATTCGAAACTATTTGGTCTGAATTATCATTGATATTGATTTCTTTTGGTGGTGATGCTGATGATATTGAGAAACTTAAATTAATCAGCGGTGAATCGAAGTATAATGAAGAATCGATTGACGAGGCAAATACGCTTGAAGCCAAACGTCTGAAAGAGCTTGGCAACAACGCCTATAAAGAGAAACGCTTTGATGAAGCATTAAAATGTTTTTCACTGGCTATAGTTCTCGCTGGCTTAAGTGATTATGATCGATCTATTCTCTACTCAAATCGAGCTGCGACATATCTCGAAAAACGCGAAGTTTCAGAAGTGAAGTCATCGACAGACTCTCGGTATCTCGCTTTGCAAGACGCTGAGCATGCACGTGATCTTCGTCCAACTTGGTCAAAAGCTTATTATCGTATTGGCCAAGCATGTATGACGCTTGGTGACTTTAAAAAAGCTGTATACTCATTTGAAAAAGCACTTGCTCTCGAACCGACTAGTACTGAAGTGAAAAATGCACGCGATTGTGCTTTGGAAAAAAAGCACTACTATGATCGACAAGATCACCTCGATCCACGGAACACGCCAAAAACGACTCGCGAACAAATAGATGAATTATCAAAAAAGATCGGCTATACGACTGAACAACAAGAACAATTCATTGAAATGATCAGAAAAATGGATCCAGGTAAAGATGCTGTATTTACTGGTCATCAGTATCGAGACGGCGATACTAATGTGAAACAGGACTACGAGTTAGCAGCGAAATTTTATGCAAGAGCTGTTCATCTTGGCAATGCTGAAGGAATGTACAATCTTGCTCTACTTCACACAAAAGGACTAGGAGTTAAACAAGATATGCAAATAGCCATTCAACTACTGAAACAAGCGGCTGAACAAAATCCTACTATGTCAGATAAATACCCTGTGCCGAATGTAGGTGTAGCAGAAGCTGAACATTCTCTTGGATTGCACTATGAAACTGGTATAGGTGTTGAAATGGATTATTATCAGGCCGCTCAATGGTACCAACGTGCCTGTGATCATGGGAGTGCAACGGCCGCTAACAACTTGGGACTTATGTACGGTATTGGTAAAGGTGTCACAAGAGATTTGGTTAAATCAGAACAATTACTTCGTTTATCAGCTACGCGTGGTGATCAAAATGGAGCCATGAATTTAGCTCTTCTATTCTTTGGTAAAAATGACTTTCAAGCTGCAGAAAAATGGTGTCAGTGGGCCAGTGAAAATAATAGTACTTTAGCCAAGGAGCGTTTACATCAGTTTCAAGATGCAGCTGAACAAGAACGAAGGCAATTCAAAGAACTAGATGTTGAAACATGGGAAATACAGAATAGTCTACCTATTAACAATATGACTTATCATCAGCGTATACAACGAAAAATGTTAACGAACCATCCCGATGCTGCACGAATACTGAGTGCTCAACAAGACTTACAAGCAACAGTCCTATCATTAAAGCCTGTGCCGCAGCCATTTACGAAGCGTTCGAGAAGATTTGATCCAGAAGTTCTCGAAGAACATTCGAAGAAAGGCTCAGCGTATGCTCAACAATTGTTAGAAGCACAAACCCATTATCTACGAGCGATACTAATTTTAGAAAACTCCAGCATTGTGAATAATGAAAAAGACGCTCGCTTCATTACAGAATTCTCCACAAGTGTTAGAATTGCACATTTTGTTATCCAAATTCCGAAGTATCTGCAGAATGAAATTAAACTCACTATTGATCGTGTACTCGTTCGATGTAACTCACAACAATCACAATTAGACGAAGACGCACGTGTATGTTATGGATTTTTGCATATGAACTCATTAGTATCTACAGTCCAGTTTCTGACTGTTTGTATTGGCATATATCCGAAGTCGCATTTCTTCTTGGAACTGCGTGGCTCTCTTTACGGCTTTTTAGAAAAATATGAGCAAGGTTTGGCGGATATCAATGCTGCACTTCAATTGGATCCAAATAATATGACATTGCTCTATGATCGTGCTGCTATGCTGAGACTGAATCAACATGCTGACCAAAGCGAAACAATCACAGCATACAATAAGTTTCTTAAATATGCGCACAAGGATCATCGTAAAGTACCCGAAGCATATTATTCCATTGCGTCTTGCTGTTTAACGAGTGGTAGTGTAGAGTCCAGCATCCAACTTGCAGAAAAATATTATGAAAAAGGTGTCGAAGCTGAAAAACAACAATTACCTTGCTTCCTACCGTATGAATCAAATAATAAATTGTTATTATCGAAACTTTTTGAATTGATATCGAAGGCTTCAGATAAGTCAAAAACTGAATCAGTAACAGATACGAAGAAACCCAAATCACGTCTTTCCGATCCACGACGAATCGACATCATCCGTTCTCATCGACGAGCTTTAGCTGAAAGACGTCAACTTCCCCCGAATATGACTTTGATACCGTCTACAGTCAAACCTCGTTTCCATCAAAGTTCACCTGCGTCCTTGATTGGTTTGAAAGCAATTACTTTACACGAAATGAATCCAACTAAAGATCATGTCTATCAAGGATATGTACTGTCGGTCATTGTTTTTGAACAATCACCAGTGGCTGAACCATCGATATGGCTAGTGATCGAAGATGAGAACGGCGATCTAGAACGACTATTTATATATAGTATTCCACCGTCTGAAGGTCTTCACCTAATCAAAGACACGTATATTTATGGTACTAAAATGAGTATTTTAAATCCCTACATGCGTATGACTGCTGATGGGAAACCGGGTATTCGAGTTGACGATTTTTCATCAATTATTTTACATGGAGAAACACACAATGTAAAAAACATGTGTCGATGTTGTGGTGAAGCGAATGCACCGCGTGTCTGTGAGAAATGTAAATCAGCGGACTACTGCTCAACTGAATGTCAACAATTAGATTGGAAACAATATGATCATAAATTGATTTGTACTTGATTTAATGTAAATTTCGTTTGACTAATACAACTCATCTTTTCTAATGAGATATATTTAGTTCTTTGACAACTGTGAACTTCAGATTTCATTGTGTTCATAAACGATATTATTACTATTACTATTATACATAAATGGATAGAGAGTGTAATAGAAAAAGCTTTTCATCAAAGCTCATTTTGATCTAGAAATTGGAACTCACATACAGTCGTGGACAAAAGTAACCAGGGTATGGGTGTGCATGGATGTGGGTAGAAGAAATATTAATACCCACAGACAACCACACCCACTCTATACATAAGTTGCAAAAGGAGCTGTAACTTCAGGCAATCAACCATATCACGAAATTCTGATAAGGATATTTTTCAAAAAAAAACAACTTCTTTTTTTTGTTGAACAAAATACCATCAGTTTCCCTATTATATTCTTCGTATAAAATCATAAACAAATGGGCATTATAATGTGCATATCCAGTGCATGATCCTTTTTTTTTACAAGAAGTTCATGGTTACATGAATAACAACCCTGATAAATGAGGAGAACAGAATATAATTTAATTGCTGCAGAACGTATTAAAATAATATTGCATAAATAAAAACTGGTTTTTTTAATATTCCTTTAATATAGTTTATTGAAAATTGAGACGAGTTTGAATATATGTTACATAAATGAACATGGATCGTTATTCTTAATGAAGGTATTAAGATGTTTTTTCTTGGATAGAACCTTTTTAGTGAGTGTGAATGAAAAGGTGTGTTTTTTCATCGTCAAAATTCACACAGCTTTTAATAACAAAAAAGAATCAATTATGATATGATTTTGTTCACCTTACTTTTAGATAGGTTTTAATAGAAAACTCTCAATAATGTCCACTCTACACAAGTATGATCACCGGGATTGTATTCATGTTGTAGAATTCTATAACCTAATTCCTATAATTGAGAAAACATTTTCGGATGCAGTATTGCATGATATATGTCACGGTTTCACCAATGTGGCTGGAAAGATATTTGATAAGGTAGATTTGTTCCATTCATTTGACATAATAAGTCGGAAGAAACTGAGTATTCTCCTTCTTCGATATCCATCTTAAAAATATGAACTTGTTCATGCTTATTATCTTTCAATATTTTATCAAAACTTTTGAAAAGTGATGCATTGTTGAATATGTGACTTTCTAGCTGTCAGTTGTAAGGATACTTAAATTTTTGCAACTTTGATACATCACCTAAACAAATTTAATGAAAAGTCAATCGTTCTATTGGTGTTCCTGGTGGTGGGCTTGTGAAATCATATGTATGAATTGTAAAAGATGTTTGCTTGAGGAGATCAAATTCAAAATTGAAATTACTGTAAGAACCCAAGCTATATACGACACAACTATTAAACGATTTCAAAATTTCCACTACACATAGTATCTTGCTACCATCATGAACTCCACCAATACGAGTCAGATTGTTTTTATAGGGACAAGGTAATGGCAGCCATGGTGGGTACACAAAATGAACCATTACTCCCACCCCAATCTCCTACTCGAAGTGCATAGTTCTTCAAAATTTGGGTGTGACTGTGGATGTGGGTATGAGTGGGTGCGGGTGTGTGTGGGTGTGCGTGAAGCCTACACGAACAATGACATCCACAAGCACACACACTCACACCCACACCCACACCGCACCCATCCACACCCACACCCAGACCCACACTCACACCCACACCGCACCCATCCCCACCCCCACCCCCACCCCCACCCACACCCACACCCACACACCCATATCCACACCCCACACCCACACCCCGCACACCCACACCCCGCACACCCACACCCCACACACCCACACCCACACCACCACACCCAAAATTTTCCTCTTTTACAACATTTATTTGTTGATTATAGTTAAGATCAATTATGTAATCTTGTTATTGAAGCTTTTGAACAATTGAGGGTGTGGGTGTTGATATTCATGACAACAAAACCCACACCCACACCCACACCTACCCACATCCACACCCCACACCACCCACACCCACACCCACACCCCACACCCACTCACAACCACACCCACACCCACACCCCGCACACCCACATCCACACCCCACACCCACACCCACACCCACACTCCACACACCCACATCCACACCCAAAATGAGACATATATTTTTGTTTATGATTTTCAAGATATAAAGAGATCTGTAATGAAAGATATTATCCGCAAAGATCTGTGATAGTACGATATGGTTGAAGATTTATTGATATACTATTTAGCCTCGAGCCCTTTATCTTATGTTTAAAAAACGTGATGTTACCAGAAGTTGTTTCCCTTTGATATTGTCTCTAAATGACGAAGATTTACTATTTTTGTACGAATTACTATTATCTCTATACTTTTGATGATATTTCAAAATAGCATTTACATCGTCATACTCAGTTTTTCTTTGAAACAACTCGAGAGACAGGGTGTGGGTGTGGGTGTGGGTGGGTGTGGGTGTGGGAGTGTGGGTGTGGGGTGTGGGTGTGGGTGAAAGATGTGGGTGTGAGGCGTGAGTTCCAGTGTTTTGTATAACCACACCCACACCCACACACCCTCAGTTCGATCAGATGTTAAAATATTTGAATGGATAGATCATGTATTGATAACAAAACCAAGTGAATTAATTCAATTGAAGACACGTTTTCGTCGAGCACGTAAGATATGAATTGATATATCAATTCATATTGCATTACCTGAATGTATTCGTAAAATCATTTTTACAAAACAAATTTGTAAGATACCTTTATCAAATAATGAGATTTTTGATAATTTTATTTTAGTTACAAGTTCAACCAATGTAATAGTTCAACCTTTTGTTCGTCATTTAGTTGTTCAATATTATTTAACTGATGCAGAAGAAATCTCAAATTTTGCTCATCAATTTCCTTATGTTAAATATTTAGAATTATTATTTTCATCAAATGAAAATTTATTTCTTGAGTGCTTTCAAACATTATTTAGTGTCTATGATTATATTAGTACTAAGCGTCGGTTTTGGCCTTGTTTAATAAGTTTTTCAACAAGATTCTTGTATGACGGACTAGATAAAAATTTAACTAATCTTGATATTCATTATTGGCTTACTCGAAATACTGACCTAAAATTTATGAAACATCAGTTTTGCATTAATTGTTCTAATTCCATATTATCGATTTGGTTTTGACTTGTTAAAGATGATAATTTTCTTATTACAAAAGATCTGTAGTGAAGCGCAAGATTTTAAGATACTTTTTATTTTTTTAATTTCTCTGAAAGTATGCCAGTAAAATGGATCTTTAGGATGATATGTATTACTGGATGATGGACTCCAACCGAACTAATCATTTCCTGCTGATTTGCACGTATATTATTCAGAGAAAGAACAGAAAACATTTCTTTCCCTACAGTCAAAAGTTTAAGACACTTTTATTATCTTATAGATTTTTCTCATTATCGAAACAAAGAAAAAATTTTGATTATATACTGTCAGATACGGAATTAAAAGGACTATATTTTGGTATAAAAATTTTCTTTAAAAAGTATTGACTGTGATAAGTAAATATTGAAACAAATATTAATGATCACCAATGAACATTACTTAATAAAGATAGAGTATATTTTTTCATTATTTTCTGTTTTCAAGTAAACCATTAGGAAGCTCATTGAAAATGAAGCGAATTTTTTTAGATTTTTTAATGTGTTAAATCGAATGTAACAAATTTTTACCTATTTCTTGAACAAAAGGTCACAGATTATGGAGGGTTGAGGTGTGGGCTTAAATAGAATGAAGAACAACAATCACACCCACACTCATACCCTCGATATCAACCTACTAATAACGAACGACTATTTGCTGTGCTATCATACGTCAGTTCTCGAGTTGTGTAATGAAAGCAGATTGGAACACAGCTTAGAAGTCTTGTATTAACTTACTATTGCATTGATTTCATCAGCAAGTGGTATGAGTCAGATGAGAAAATCCAGATGTACTTTGAGGTGATTGATGCAGGCAAGTTATCGACAACATATGTAGAGAGCGTGAAAGAACCATTTGGGTGTGAGTATGGAACATCGGTGTGTTAGGGAAAAAGTAATACCCACACTCATATTAAGTTGGCTCAAATTTATCTTAGTATTGATCAAGAAAAACTTATTATTCTTTATTATGCTAAAGCACCTGAAATTCGCTTAGAATGTTCACCATGCGGCCATCCATTTTTTTGTCTAAAGCGTATTATACTGCTGCTATGTACTAGTAAAAAAAACAATCGAATTCTTAGACAGAGTAGCTGTAACTCATGGACACTAAAGAGCTTCAAGAAATCATTGTACTATGTTTAACAGTCGACAATGATATTTATTGGCCGTTTTTTTAATTCTATAATTCAAATTTTTGCGAATGTTGAGCGGAAAGTATCTCGAAAAATTTTCCTTATTACTTTTTATTTGTGACGCGTAGTTATGATTGGATTATCGTATATTGGATCCAGTAGGATGTTAGTGAGTTGTGTTTAAGACATTTTCGTCTGCCTGAGACAAGATCTACAACTAAAAGATACTCCTACCTAAAATATCTGGGAGAACGTCAATTTGTATAGATAAATCTTTCAGGATGATGCATACTGGTTTATCTTAATTTTATAGAAAAACATAATTAAAAGAATCAATTAGATTAAAAATCATCGTTATGGTCAATTTGTCTGGAACGTTTTCTATGACTATCGATTTCGAGTTGTTCACGTTTGTTTTCGTTCATAATAAAAGATATTGTGAGAGAATCACAATCTTGGACGAAAGAGAATTTCCGTTTCTTCAGTCTTAGCCATTCGATAATCTTCATTCGAACATTTGGTATTTTGTTGTCATCAATGAATTTTACACTAGATAAGTGTTCATCTCGTTCAAGAATCCATTGCATACATTCTAAATCGTTTGTTTTGACTTTTAAACACTGTATTCGATGGTCTGTATCAAACCATATACGTGTTATAATGT